CTAACAATCCTAAGGAGGACATGCATTTCTATGCAAGGAAGCTATAGGCTAATGCCACATACTCAATTATTACAAGTACAATTACATAATTGGAAGTTAACAGAGTGTGATAACAACTTAGTAGAGGTTTTCCATGTTAATTATATTTTATTTATCTACTACAGCTGAGGCCTGCTGGCATATACGCAGATATTATCATTACGGTCTCTTGCTCTAAATATTTTGCTTATATAAAAAGAATAAAATGTACATTTCTAACACACTCAAATTCACATTAAAATGGGCTTCCAATAGATACATCGTCTACAGAAAGATACAACTACAAGGGTAACGTAGCTCCTATTCAACTATCTAATAGTCACGACTATGCCAAGGGTTTGACAAGGATGCGACAAGGCTCAAGTGGACTAGTCGTTGGGATCTGTGCGGAATGTTTATAAACTTTCTTTTGTCTTATTTACTGTTGTTATTGTTGTGTTGTTATTGGTCGGTTCTGTACTTGTATCTAGCTCTTTGATAAATGGTCTATAAAATGTATTACAAGTCTCTATTCGAGCTAATTCGTTGGTGCAGTTTATTTTTGGACACGCTTCAGAAAGCATCGTTGAGCTCCACAACTGACATTCGCAGTTCCCCTAAGGGCGGTAGCTACTGCGGCCTCGCCAGCATCTCCAATCCGCCCTCCTCCTCCATTTTGGTAAGGAACTTCGTCACTCGGTACTGCGGCTCCGATTGCCGCACCATATCGATTAGTGCCAATAGCTTCTTAATGCCAATCCATACGCGTGCACCGTTAAATTTGCGGCCAATCACTTGCAGCTCTTCGGGACTGAATAGATCGGAGTCCTCCAGCACTGTTAGCACATGGTCGGGATTGGATATATTGGGGACATGCAGAACGGAGGTGAATGCGGATAGCATTTCCATCTCCTCAAGCACCTGGCGCCTGCTTGAGGTGCACAAGATGAGCAGTTTGCGACCCTTCGGTGGCTGTTTCTTGAGCAGCACCAGCAAGGCCTGCAGTGTTAGGTTGGAGTAGCGCGGTCCGATGGGTCCGTAGTCGAGCAAACGTTCCACATTGTCCACCACAATGCAGCTGAGCGTGGAGCGGTAGGCATCATCGAATATCTTGCGTATGTGCAAGCACTTGGCGGACTCGGTGAAGCCCACCATATCCTCAGGCGAGCACACCTTGACAAAGGGAAAGTCACTCATCTTTGCCAGATTGGCGGCCAGCGCCGATTTGCCCGAGTTTGGCGCGCCCTCGATGAGCACGGACACCAAACCGGAGCTTTCCGTTGCCTTCGCCTGTTGCACATACAGCATGCCATCCTCCAGCACACTGGTCACTGGCGGACCCCAGTTGATGACGCCGCGGGCGAGCATGTTCTCAATCATCTCCTGAGCTGCACCGAATGCGGGCTTGATGTCATTTTCCAAGGCGTGCATAAAGTCGGAGCGCGTTACTTTTAGCTTCTCCATGGCCTCGGGATCTACGTGCACTTTGGCGTCGGCTTTGATCAGGCGATTCATGGCCGTGGACTGAGCAGCACGCACCAGACCCTCGAGCTCAGCGCCGCTGAAGTTCTTTGTGCATGCTGCAATCTCCTTATTATCCACATCGCTGGCAATCTTATTGAACTCGCGCATTCGCTTTGTGTGTATGTTGAGGATCTGAACGCGCCCCTCTTCGTTGGGCAGGCTAATTTCCATTTGCACCTCCAGGCGGCCGGGCCGAAGCAGCGCCTCATCAATCATATCCCTGCGATTGGTCATGCCAATGACCAGTATGTTGTTCAGCTGTTCCACGCCGTCAATCTTAGCCAGCAGCTGATTGACCACGGTGTCATGTACGCCACTGTTACCGGCCACCGAGCCACGTGCCTTACAGATGGCATCGATTTCATCAAAGATGATTATGTGCAGTCCACTGTTCGGGCCTAGACGCTTCTCCTCCTCTTCGGCGTCGGCAAACAGACGTCGAATGTTGGCCTCCGATTCACCCACATATTTGTCCAAAATCTGTGGTCCATTCACAATCTTGGGTTCACGTGCGTTCAACATGGTGCCAATCTGTCGAGCCATCAAAGTTTTGCCCGTTCCTGGCGGTCCATAGAGCAATATGCCTTTCACATGCTTAATGCCCAACTGTTCGACCAGCTCGGGAGGGAACACTCGTGAGGCAAAAGCACGTCGGAAGATGGCATTGAACTCCTTATCTAGGCCACCAATTCCCATTTTGCCAAAGTCCCAGTCGGGATTTATGATGGGGCTTCGTGTAATTTTGCCCTTGGATCTGCCCTGTAGATTGAGCACCGAGTTCTCGGCCTTCTCGAATTGCACCACCGTGTTGCCTAGCACCCGGCCAAATCGTACATTCCGCGTTTTCGCCTCCTTGCCATCCCCTATGGTTCTGGGATCTACAGCCTCCAACGTCTTGACCGCCAGACCAAGTAATTTCTTGTCCTTGAAGTGAAAGACCAGTGTTTGACCCACCGTCAATGCCATGCCCGCAAACTGCATAATGAATTCCTTGGCCATTTCATCCGAGTCGTAGGGCTCCTGGGTGATGGTCTTCTTTTGCAGAAAGTCCGTTTCGAAGGAGACCGATACAACGATGTCAGAGCTGGCATCGAATCGATAGGGGCGCACATCGATCTCCTGATTGATGGAGAGGGAGGCCCATTTGCGCTGCACCAGAGAAAAGCCCACATGCCCACGTGGCAGATCGGCGATCTTCTCCAGCGCAAATATATAATGCTGTCCAGGTCCCGGCGAGATGTCAACATATCTGTTACGCAGCAAATAAAACACAAAACGGTGATTAAATAAGCTTCACTAGTGACGCCCCCACTGAGCTGGCGTCATTTTATGAAATCATTCAAAAGTCAAACAAAAATCGAAACCCAAACTGACTTTACTTCCTCGGTGAAATCGGCAATATTGACGATAGCCTTGTTCGTCAGAGATAGTTCGTCTGTGGGGCATTTGATGGCCTTCATTTTGTGCGCCATTTCGTTAGCCATTATTGCAGCACAATTCTATTATAATTAGTTTTCTCGCTCAATTTAATATTTACGAGGCGAAATTGTTTCCAAATACTGACTCACCAACAGCTGTTCGCACTGCTGTGCAGCCCTGGTTGCAAAAAAGAGAAACCAGCGCATTATTAGTGTACACACTGGAAACGCTGCTGCGTTGGAAGCGTAAACAGCTGATCAGCAGAAAGTGGAAAAAAAAAGTTGTTTGTATCTTAATTTGCCAGCATAAACCGGCAATACTCTGCTGAGAGGCAAATAATTTGAAAATTAATCATTTCTATCTTCATAGCTATTTAAAAAAGGTGTCAAATATATTTAGCATAAATAAAGGCTATGATGTAATAGATACGAATTACAATTATTGCACTTTTGGGCTGTCGCGCTTTGCCAATAGAATTACATTCTCTAAGGTCACGTCGCGCGACACGTAGAACTTGAGGGACGCCTGGTAGCCATTCGCTCGTAAATGCTCCAAACGGCCGTAGTCCAGAACACGTTTGCATTGATAGCCAATAAGTTCGCGCTGCTCACGGCTTAATCTCTGTGTGGGCTCCTGTTGGGGCGGCTCCTCGTGTGTGGCTGCCTCCGCCATAGCCTTGCGCCGCTCGCGGCTAATACCAGTGCCACACACAGCCCAGCTCACCATCTTGGTGATGATGACAAAGTCTCGTGGCGTGATTCCCGCTGTTTGGAGCCACTTCTTGTCCACGTAGGACCGCCAGGAGCAGCGATGATGGCAGCAGAGGGCAATCAATATGTAGTCGGTATTGCATTTCTCTTTGTCGGCTAACACACAGCGCAGCGTCAAATCTGTGGCAGCGCCACACAGATGTTTCGACAGCGCCACATTGCGCTGGGTACGCTGCAGCTCTGGAAGTTCGGACATCTTGAGGTCCGCAATGTCTGCGCGTATTCGCTGCACCAGTTGCTTGTTGGTCAGCTTATTGTCCTTCTTGTGGCGCAGCGAGAGGCGATCCACCAACACCACCTGCGATTCGCCCAACTGTTTCGTATCAAGTGCCGTGGCTAAGTAGAAGGCCAGTTGGCCCTTGCCAGCGCCAAATTCAATGAAGCTAGTGTTGTCAACCAACTGTTGATCTTGCTCGAGTATGCCCAATAAAGCGGACGTCTGCACCAGATGCTTGCGTGTCTCCGGGCCATATTCGCTGTGGCTCAGGGGCTCCTCCAGTGATGAATGTTGCAGCTGCAGCTGCTCAATGTTGCCGTCTATGTGAGTGTCGTACAGCTGCTTCACTTTGTCTATGACTCTATAGAACTCTTCATCCTCCAGTTCGTGCAGTTTTAGCTTCTCATATTCACAGATCTCTTGCAGGTTGTCCGAGTCCAGTTCCTCGCCTGCATTTATATTTTTGTGTATGTAGGGCAGGTTGCTGATCTGATCTCTTGCATTGCAAATGGTCAAGTGTTTCGCCAGCTTCCGCTTGAACACTGTGTGCTTGGGATCTAGCGGGCAGGGTATGCGCTCTGCTTCGGCATTCTCTGCAGTCGCCTCACTCGGCGGCTCGTGTGCTCCACAAAATAAACTGCCCTTGTTCGGTTCCATTTTGCAGTAGCGCTTCTTGCGCTGTACCCAGTGCGCACAGTTGGCAGCTACCGGCTGAGCCGGCTTTTCATCTGGACTCATCTTGGGTTTCTTAGCGGGAATTGCTTCGGCCATGCCATCTATAAATAATCCTGCACGTGCCTTTGTTTACAATAATAAATGGTGGTGGGTAAAGTGTGACCGCATGCGATAAATCATATCATTCCATATATCCAAAGAGAACATAATTCTGCATTTAGCAATAAGTTTGTAAAATCAACATTGATTGATGAGCAATAATGCATTAACATTTGTAGGATAAGAATATATGCCGTCTATTTATCCAATTTATTCAAGAACAATTTTTAAATAAATGGCATTTCGCCTTAGGTGGCAACGCTTCGGAGTTAACATCGATAGTTTCACATAAAGTATCGATAGTTTATATAGCATTTGGTAGACACGGAAAAAAGCCGCGAGGACCAAACGTTTTGGTAAATAACACTTGCTGTATATATTTTTCATAGGCGTTAGCCGTATTAATAAACTGGTTCCATTAGTACATCAAAATGTAAGTAAAACAGCAGAGAGCGTCTGTACGGGACGGCTTTAGCGTACAGCCGGCATGCTTGGTGTTGTACCAAACAACTGATAAAAAACAAAATTTTTGCAGGGCTCTCGTTAAACCCAAATCAGAGCTCACCCCCGAGGAACTGGCTCGCCAAGAGGAGGAGGAGTTCAACACTGGCCCGCTGTCGGTGCTCACACAGTCGGTGAAGAACAACACACAGGTACTCATCAATTGCCGCAACAACAAAAAACTGCTGGGCCGCGTCAAGGCGTTCGACCGCCATTGCAACATGGTCCTGGAGAACGTAAAGGAGATGTGGACGGAGTTGCCGCGCACCGGCAAGGGCAAAAAGAAGGTGAAACCCGTCAACAAGGACCGCTTCATATCGAAAATGTTTCTGCGTGGCGATTCTGTAATTCTAGTGCTACGCAATCCATTGGCTACGGCAGCGGGCAAATAGAAGATATCACGTAAAACAAAAGCAACCTCATTCATTCAACTACAATCAATAAAATTAAATTGCAATTTTCTATAATGACGAACGATGTGTATTCCAATTGTGTCTTAAAACTATATGATGCTCATCAAAGTCGCTCAATGACCGGATAGCTGCTTGCTCAGTATGGGCACATACTCGTCGTATTCCGCCATGAAGAAGGTGCCAGCTATGGGCTGACCCAGGCGATGATGTTCTGCGAATTGTTTAATATGGAACTTGGTCCTGGAGCGGCGACTTTTGTTGCTAACGCGATTTCCGGAGAATACGAGCTTCTTCGGTTGGGCGTACACTAGAAAGACGTAACGATGCAGACCCGTATCCTTTGGCGGTCCGGCGCCCACATATTCAGCCAGCGCATCACCCTGGGCCACATTGTTGCCAGGGATATTGACCACCAGCCAGTGCTTGAATTCACGCAGCTTGGGACTCGCACGGCTCGGCGCATCCGGATCGACCATCGCGAGCGTATAGTAGGATTCTGGTTCGGCTGGCCACTCCACAGTTGGAGTGTTCTTCACCTGTGAGGGCGTCACAATGGCGCCGTTCATAATCATAAGCCGATCGTCGTAGGTGATCTTCAAGCAGAAGAAAAAATATGCCAATTATATTCCAGATGCATATGAAACTTTCTTTTTAACGTTGTGCCACACCTTTAGCATCTGATTGGGTGGCTGGGCCACTACATCCGGCACGACGCCTTGCCACTTGAATGCGTCCGTTTCTGGGTTGCATTGCACAGCAGCGAGAACGCAGACCAATGCCACAGATTGCAGTAACATTTTAATTGTTGTGTCAAATGAATTACGCAAGGCTAAACAGAAATTTACTCCGACTATTTATGGGCGTAGATTGTTGTAAACGTGAACTGCTCGCTAGCTAGCTCTGTCCTCAACTGAAACCAGTTCGTCTTGCGGCTGGGCTTATAAAACGCAGCAGCCATTGCTGACGGCAGCTGTGATTGAACATTCGTGGAAATATGTTTAATAACACCTTTTATTTATTTCTTTTTCAACAATGCACGCCAATTGTGTACTTGCCAATTTATCAAAGAAAAAGAAAAAAGAAAACCATACAGAATTTATTTATAATAATAATAATAACTCTTATCACTTGCCCGACAGCTGTTTGTACAACTTGGGCACATAATCGTCCCACTGTGCCTGGTAGAAGTTGCCGGCAATGGGATTGCCCAGCTGATATTTGGACGCAAACTTGGCCGTATTGAATTTGCCACGCTTATCGCCGCTAGTCTTTGGAATGCGCGGCTCATTGCAGGACAGCTTCTTCGGCTGCTTGAACACCAGGAACACGTAGCGATGCAGTCCCGTGCCCTGCGGCGGTCCCGAGCCCACGTAGGCGCTGAGCACCTCGCCCTTGTCGATCTGATTGCCGGGCACATTGACCACTAGCCAGTGATGCCATTCGCGGAACTTGGGCTCCTTGCGGCTGGGCGCATCCGGATCAGTTAGCAGCACAGTGTACAGGGCGTCCGGTTCAGTTGGCCACTCGAGCTGCGGTGCGGCCTTCACCTGAGTGGGTGTCAGCTCATTGCCACTGTTCGCCTCCACGCCGCCCGCATAGGTCACCTAATGTGAGGCATTCACTATGTGAGAGCAAATCAATCAACTAACGAGAATCTAGCGAAGCTCACCTTGAGCAGCTGCATCGGTGCCACTTGCAGCACATCGGGCACAATCTTGTGCTTCATAAAGAACTCGGCCATGATTATCGAGCTAGGAATTCAGTAAAATTTCTGGTTGCTTTCAATTTGCTGACTGACAGTTTATGTATGTATTTTTGTTCGTTTGTGATAGAAAATATTTACAGTGTATCTGATTTGACAGTTAGCTGAGTTCGTAGTTGAGCTTGAACTTAATTTATGCATTTCTTTGGCAATCCAATTAAAAACCGGCCAACTTGGTTTGGCTTGGTTCGTTGATTACCTAAAACGACAGCGGCCTCCCCTCAGTCTCGTGGTTGGCCTTGTGCAGCGCGGGCACATCGGTGCTCCACTCGCAGGTGAAGAAATTTCCAGCCAGAGGAAAACCCAATTCATATTGCTTTACGAACGCCTTGGTGCTGAAGTTGTGGCGGCCCTGGTCGCTGTGCTTGGGCACAGGTTCCAGATTGAACTTTAGATAGTCCGGCTGCTTGTAGAGCAGGAATACGTAGCGATGTAGGCCGCTGCCCTTGGCGGGTGTGGCGCCGGTATAGCCAACGCGCACATCGCCGAGGCCCATTTGATTTCCGGGTATGTTGACAACCAGCCAATGGAGATACTCATTGGGCTGTGGCGGCACCTTCGACGGTACGTCCGGGTCGGTCAATATGAGCGTATAGTAGTAATCCTTGCCGGCAATCCAGTTGACCTTCGGCTCATCCCTCACCTGCAAAGCCTGCAGCTGGACGCCTCGATCTGCATTTATATTACCCGGATATGTAACCTGTTTAACCACGAGGCGGAGAGATACGACTGAGTGATTGTCTCTATTGTGATTGTCTCCTCTGTTGGAGTTGAACTTACATTGAGAAAGTCTTGCGGGCCGACGGCTATGACATCGGGTATAACGTCCAGGTGCCTGAAGAATTTGCTCACATCCGTGTCCCGTATCTTTCCAGTTTCGGGCAGGCAATGGGCCTTGCCCAGGCACAGCCACAGCCAGAGGCAGAGCAAGCGAGTGCGATTGGTCCACATTTCGGTTTCAGCATCGATACTGGCCGATATCTGGCTGTGGCAGCGCTTTATGTAGGCGCTCGCACCCCGGCCAACCCAGATTGCATTATTGCTGAAAAACCGGCTGTCTCGGTCTAGGTCTGGTGGCCAGTTTGCCCAGTCTGTCGCTCGACTCGGGCTGTGCTAAAACAGCTGTTGGTCTTTAAGCCCATGGCGAAGTGTCTGACTGGATAAGCATACGGCTGTTATGATTTAATATGCATTTTCGCTAGATTGGGTATATAGGCTGGACGACTAGCTATGTAACACTATAAACTTTGGTAGAGCATGTAAACATCAATTGCTGAGTCGATCAGCATATGTACATATAAGTATTTATATCCAGTTGACTGACTATTACTTGTTAGAAGAAGAAGTTTTGCGTTAGAAGAAGCATCTACTTAGTACCACTTGTCTTCATATATGTATGCAGGATAGAAGTCTTAAATTGAAATTTTCAAAGACTAACCATTGCTTCCAAAGTTATAATATATATGTACATGAACTTCATATTGTTCATATATGTATAGATATTCATATTTTGAAGATATGGGAATTCAATACTTTTAGGTTTATAGGAACTAATAATACACCTAGTCTGAGGATAAAATAATATATTTAATAAAATTATCATTTCCTTAATTAAATGTAAGGTTTAACAAACTAAAGCCCGGAATTTCTCCTTACAATAATTATTTTAAGTTATGAAAACAAACAGAAAAAAGCTTGAATATCTAGGAATAGATTATAATCTTGTTTTAGTATTACGGTGCTCTGTTAGCTGCTGAAATTGAAAAGCTTAGCGTGTGTCAACGCAATTTTCGCTCCGAAATTTGCGTGACTCTGGAAAAAAGAAAAGCCGACAAAAATAAATCATGAAATTTATATACATATGTACGTATATATGCCAGAAACAGTTAGTAGGTCATTTAGTTCTATTTTATTCAGTGTGTAGGTAATTGGCGCTGAGCTTCTAACATGCTAACTCATAACATTAAATCCGACAAATGCTGGCAAATATCTCTATAGTAGCTCTTGAATTGTGTTTCAAAATTTAGCTCTTTACCACTTGAAAACTGGCGACAGCTATAGTAACTATAGAAAAGTTTATCTAGGGTATCACGAATGTTAGTTTTGTAATCAAATTTAAGTGTGGCAAATTAGGCAAATCGATTTGTTTGATCTGCAGTCATCAAATTAAAATTATTTCTTTTTTAGGTATTTAATATATCCGGCTAATATAGAAAATAAGTGAATCGAAACAACGTGTATTATTATTTGAATAGAACCTATGTAAATAATGTGATCAAATATAATTTGAGCTTCCTAATAACTTCCCATATAATCAGAACTGCGATAATTTTACGAAAATTAAAGCTACTTTCGTGATGGGCAAAGCTTACCTTATTATAATAAATATTGTTTTTATTTTTCAGATTTTTAAATAAATTACTTTCTGGTATATTTATAGAAATATTTTTCGTTTATAGCTGAGTCAAAACTGAACAGGTTTAGGTGCTTTAAACCTTTTTCTGTAGACAAATATTATGCATTCACGACATTATATAAAATTAAAAACCCATATTTACTTTTCAATTTTTGCAATTTTTAATAAATTAAATAAATAATATTTCAATTAATTTTCTTGATTTTTGGTCGATCTCTGAAGGGTAAGAAGGAGAAGGGTTTAGCTAGAGGTAATGCAGAGAAATGAAAGCGAAAGCAGTTAGGAAGAAGCGATAGAGAAGAAGCGTGAAAGGAAGCGGAAGATGGTAGATGGAGTAGATGGAAATCAATAGAATGGCTAAAAGTCGAGCGCTTAAACTTAACAACTAATTTTATGGCCTAGGCATGTTCCGGTTCCATTTGGTCTGCTTACTCAAAGTGCCACGCCCCCGCGGGCAGATGGTGCGGCACTCAGTTCCTTGGTATGTACATTAACAGCGGAAGTGTGATCTAAGATCTAAGATGAGTTGCTGTAGCTGGAAGAGGTGGAGGCACCGGACGATGAGCCGGAGCTGTACGAGGAGGAGCTGCTGGGGTGATATGAGCTATAGGCCAGATTCTGTGAGTCCCAACGGGCATATGGGCCACCGCTCATGGGCTCCCAGCTGCTGGGATCGTACGAGGAGGCAGTGGTGCTTGGCACACCGTATTCAGCTGCTGGCATTGGTGGTGGCATGGGCACCATGTTCATCTTCATGCCACCCAATTTCTGGATCAGATTGTAGATAAGGAAGCCAAGCACCAACTTGATGGCGATCTTGGACAGGATCAGAGCCTTGGTGGCCTTAAGACTGACCAGAGCCAACAGAATGGGCATGATGACCTTCAGCTTGAACTTCATGAGCAGCAACAGAGGCAGCAAGAGCTTGTCCTTGTTCTTCTTCTCAGCGCGGCCTGCCAAATGGGAGAAACAGTTGAGATTACGAATCTGGCTGAAAGCAAAGAGCTGAGCGAAGCTGACACACCTTCCTCTTTGGGCAACTCCAGGTCGAAGCCACGATCGGAGCGATAGGAAATCACTGAGCTGGCGAAGAAGGTCTCTGGCAGCTGGAGGCGCAGCTCGTTGGTGCGCAGAATGCGTGCCAGACGATCGACGATGACCTTATCGATGACATCATCATTGAAGGCGCGACCGCTGACCTCCTCCTCAACGTTGGCGACCGTGTCCAGATAGGTGAGCACCTTCTCCTTCAGGCAATGCATGGCATTGGCATGGAAGCACTTATCCACAATGGTCGAGATCAGCTCATCCGAGCTGTGGATGCGGGGCGTGACCGCATTATCAATGGCAGCACCCTGAACAGACGCCGCCAGCAGCAGCACACTACCGAACGCGATGAAGGATGTGAAACGTTGTGCCATCTTGACAAGATTTTCAAATATCCACTTGCAATATATATATACTATCTATATATAAGTATGCCTATATACACTACCAGAGCGCGTAGTGTTCACTGCGATGCCGATGCGACGACAATGTTGAGCACTTGTGGCACTACCGACGATTTTATACTGAGAGACGCGACAGAGGAGCCGTAGTCACTGCACTCGACATAAGTTTTGGAGCGCACCGATATATTTTTGGACAGCGGCAGCAGCACGCAGCACGCAGCAACGTCGGGCTGACGAAAGCCGTTGCCGAACCTTGGCTCTGGCTCTTCGGGGTGTCCAAAGTTTTTCACCAAACTGTGTTGGATCGGCTTTTTGATATCTGGGTTGACCAGCCCAGAGACTCCCTAGCCCTAGCCCCACATGCAAGCTTTCTCGCTTTCCATACCGGCTATACGAACACCTCCGACCCCGCAGCACCGCCATCACTCAAGCCCCCGCTCGCAGCGCGCTGATCAAAGTTGCATTATCGACGACCAATGAAAATAACTTTTGTTTCCCTCAATTAGTATGCGCGGAGGCAACTCTTACGCGAACAGCACATGAAAGCCAGACCCAAGACATGGCCCATGGCGGACCCAGGTCCAGGGCACGTACATTTTTCAGCGTATTGTGTCAAATTTCGATACATGAAATCAGTACGGAACTTGTCTACGCTTTGGTATTGGCCATTTGTCCATTTTGGCCATTTGATACGCATTAGGCCATTTGTTTATCGTCTATGCGGAACTGCGAATCGAATTATTGTCAATTTGCTTGCTTCTGTTTCTGTGCGGGATTACGAAATAGGATTTCTGCTGGCACTTTTGACACATATATTTATGACACGTTTCAGTGCTGCGCCACAGCCCTTCAATGTGGGTCAACGAAAGTGAAGAAATCAATAAATTTAATTTTCTTTACACATTTCTTAACCTTCTCATTGATGAAGGAATCTAATTTAATTTTCTCTGATGAAAACTTTGTAAGCTTCTGAGTCGCTTGAAAGTTTGTTGACTAAGTAACAGGAAAAGTTCCTCTAGATGAGGTCAGGGCTCAAAATCACAGCAGATGCTTGGCAGTATAATTGTTGTTGCCGAAGGACTCTGGGGGACGTTCGTTATTGTAGTTTGCAGGAAAATATGCTGGACATAAATTAGAAAGAAATGTTATATATATCTTATAGATATTTTATGTGTTTTATATAATTAAATTTACTATATTGTTTTGCGGAAATAGGTATTTAATGCTCTTAAAGTTTGTATTAAAATTTAATTATATTAGTTTTAGTCGTAATACGTAATACGTTATACAAAAATATATGTATATAAAACATAAAGTCTCTAGGTTCAATAATCTGTGAAAATCATTTTCAATTTACCAGGTATATATATATATAGTTCCTTAGTAAATAATAAAACAATTGTATGCATTTTCCGATATATTATCGTATTTTATTGTTTAAATATATACCACCAAAAATATCGTCTAAATCAAATACAACAGAATCTGGTTATAAGGACACTCAAGGAGCCGTCGTTATACCCGAAAAATAATCATACAATTCTGCTGTAATTAAGAAAATAAACTAAACATATACTCTCAATAATATTGGAATGTGAAATGAAATTATGAGTCGAGTGCTTGGCATTAGGAAAACTTATTTCTTATGCAGCATTGATCTTCGTTTTCTACACATTACCGGAGTTTCTATTTATTATGACAATATTTTATAAAATATACAACTCATCATGTCCAATTATAATCGAAAAATATATTAAAATTGCTCTACATTATAGAGCAGTTCCGATCTCGTAATATCCCTGAACAAAAAAACCTAAGCCATGTAAACAAATAAAAAAGCAAAGAGTTAGCCGCTGACACCACGCAGAGATTACCTAACTGATAATGTGAATAATGCAACAGGTGTCGTTGTCAGCGTCACACGATCTGTTATCATCGGATAAAAGAAATTTCGTTGACACTTCACTCAATGCGTGCCAAAATTGAAAAACAATCGAAACTGCAGTCGAAGGAAATAAAACGAAAAATGAAAATGAACAAGTAAAAGTGACACAAATGCCTGACTAAAATATACCTGGCAGATAGTTCGACAGAGCCCAATGCCGATGCCCCTTTTGAATAGATATTTAGTTGATATATGTATGTGGTTAGTTAGAGTCATATACATATATAGCTGAATGCCTCTAAATCTTGGGTATTATAAATAATGTACGCAGATAAAAGAATATATAGATAAATAGAATACACAGATAGATAGATGTATTACATAGCCATAGTAAATATAGAGTACAGGAAGTAAAACCGTTTGTAGAAATTCGTAGATGGAACTAAGGACTGCACTCCATCATTTCGACGTCATTTACGATCTGCCTTTCGTCAGTGATCCTTGGGCAAAAGTAGTTGAGCTTTTTACTATCCACTTTTAACGAGTGCAGGACATTTCCGAGTGTAAACAAGCCATAAATATTCACTTGCTCGTGTGGCTATGCCATTTGCTCCTGAATGCCAACTTGTTATGAAAGCAACGCAACGAAGTGCGAAGCCAACTGTCCCACAGCTTTAGCTTTCCCCCCCCCATCCACGCACGAGCATTTCAAATTGTCAGCTGAATTTTTAAAGTTTTTCCACTTGGCCAGCACGGCCTAGTGGCTAGCTGCTCAACAATTTGTACGGTTTATTGGCCAGAGGAATGCGTCTGGACCAGCTGCTGGTATAATATTTGTCCTTTATTGCTTGCTTTAAATGAAACGCAAATGTGTGTGTGGAAGTGTTCAGTGAAGCCTAAGAATTTTAGGTCGACTCTTGTCATGCGGCGCTGCACTTTGGCTGCGGTCCATTCTGCCCCAGCGACCGGTTATCGATTAGAATATGCAAAGACTTTCACTTTCGGGCGCAACTTTCATCGGTCGAGTGAAACGGAGTCACTTAAAAATTAAAATTAAAGGCAAGTTCATCGCATTAATCGAGCCAAGTGTGTAGACTGGAATATTTAATTAGACGCGCAGCGCCAAAGAATTTGAGCCACTTAAATTTGGCTAATTAGGACGTCCCCAAGTGCGTCTTGGCCCCATGCATAATTGAGGCTCAGTGAAACTTTGGGCCGGGCCCACTTGACGGAAGGCAGCCAGCCCTAAGTAGGCTACACTAAATTAATATAATTCACTTAAATTTTTAAGCATTTATTTGTGTTGTTTTGGTATTTGTGTTTTGCTCTTTCTCTTCTTTTCTTTTGTTTTTTTTTCTTCTTTTGTTCTTTTCAATAAATAAATAAATAGTTATTACATATACATATATATAGAGGGGGGTGTCTAAAGAATGCGCTCAAATCAAGTCACAAAAAAACAAAAACAATTTTCATTTTCTAACAATCAACAACATTTTTGTGGCCTGCTTTTGCGGCTTCAGGAATTAGGCATAGGCCTGGTAGGCCAGCTCCTGGGCCTGTTGCTGGGGCTGCTCCACGACGGCGGCGGGCAGCGCGGCGCCAAAGCTACGGCCGTCCCACGGTCCGTGGGCGGTGATGTGGGCGGTGTGATGGTGATCATTCGCAATCTGTGTGTGTGTGTGAGTGGAAGGAGAGAGCAGAGCAGAACAAAGATTTCGTTTTAATATATGAACAGCATATTTTGGGGTTTGCTTTTTGTGCTTTTTAGTGGGTGCTTTTAAGGAGGATGTAGAGGAGGAGGGTTGTGGACTCGGGTTGCTTTTTGCTTTTCTTGGTACAACTTACCCAGAGCACGCGCCCTTTTCTTTTGTGTAACTATACATACGTGCTAATATTTATGTAATATTGTAATTGAATATAAACCCGCCGCCCTCTCCTCTCCTCTCTCCTCTCTCCACTCAACTCAATCAACTCTTCTCATTCGCACTCACTAATTACCACAGCCGGCGAACGCCTAAAAAATAACAGAGATGCGGTTTTTAATTGCTGAACGGTCTTACCTTTTTGCACAATTGGAAAATGGCCAAACCAACCGAGACAATGAAGGAGAAGAAGCCGAGGGCGAGCGCATTGAACGCCTTGATCTTCAGTATGCCAATTGCCATGGGTATCACGGTGATGGCCTTCAGCAGAATGAGCACCAGAATGGGCATGGCCAGCTTGCGTAGACGGTGCTTCTTGCCTAAACATAGAGGATGCAGGTGTGCAGGTGTTTGTGTTTCAGTTTAGCTGCTTATTCACTTGACTGGAGGTAACCCACCCTTCTTGAAGATGTTGCCCTTCTTACCCCTGGCTTCGATATCGCTGGCATTGTCATTGTTCAGCTGCAGATTCAAGCTCAGCTCGTCGTTGGCCAGATTGCGTGCCGAGACGGTGATCTTGGCATCGGCCAAGGGCAGATTGAGGCTGACATCATGGCCGCTCATGTAGTTCTCAATGGCATCCAGGAAGCCGTCGCTGGTGCTGGCGCGTGCCTCGCTGACCGGAGCCACCTTCTGGCCATTTGTGTGCACCTCCAAGTTGGACAGCTGCAAGTGTTGACAGATGAATAATGAAGAGAACGATATAGAGGGAGGAAGAGGGAGGGAGGGAAATGTGCGTGTCTGCGTACCTTGAAGCTGTCTTGGCTCAACACGTTGTCCACGAAGCGCATGGCACGCTCTTTGATGCACGCCATCGAGTCTTGGCCGCTGGCGCATTTGCTCTGCTCCTCGGCTATCAGGCGTTGCAATTGCGGCGCTGTGGCGCCCTGAGTGGCTGCTGCCAGGGCTGCAATGCCCACAACCAGAAGAAGGAATTTGGCCATTTTGTTTGGTTTGTGTGTTTTATTTTTATTTTTTTGCTTTTTCGTATTTGTAGTTGACGCTGGGCACCACACAACAGACAACTCGCCTCACTGCTGGCACAATTGAGTTTAATAATCGTTTTTCTATCGTTCACGATTTTTATACTTGCCCAATGTTTCTGTGTGAGACTCGGTCGGGCCCCCGCTCGGCTGGCTGGTCGTACGCAAAGCAAAAGAAACATGGCGGAAGAAGACATAAATGAAGCAGACAACGAAAGAGGCAGAGCAACATTGCATTGTTGTTGTTGCCGTTGTTGTTGTTGCCGTTGCTGTTGCTGTTGCTGTTGCTGCTGTTGTTTGTGAGCAGCGCGTGTGCGTGCCCGAGCACCACGTGTCGTATACTTAATACGGTTTTATTTCAAACGCGTGCCGCTCTCCGCCTATCGACTCGAGCGTTGCGTTTCATTTGGTTAACTTTACTTTACTTTGATATTAAATGCATTTTCCTGCTGGATTTTGAAAAAGGTCTGAGACGCCAAACTGTTTCCAAACATGGCCCAAGGAAATTGAAGAAAACTCTAAACGAGCAGCAAATGCTATTAGGCCACCATTTACGTATGCTATTGAATAGTTAACTAGGTTTGCGTTTGAATTGCACGTTATTCACTCTTTAAAAGGCAATGTGAGGGAGAGGACTTCAGTCAAACACTCTGCACACAAATGCATTTTAAGCTGGCTAACTAAGTTTAATGTTTGGTTTCACTGCATCATTATGATTAATGAATGCAAGATTTGGCTGCTACAATGTCTAAAAATGATTAAACAGTTGAAAGTGAGGGCTAGGACAAGCTAAATTAATGAATTTATACAGCTGAAATAAATTGGAGGTGCTGGTTTGGTATAATATGTATAATATGCTGGATAGTTAGGTAAAAGGAAATCAACTATTGGGCATATAGAAATGGATGATGTATTAGAATATCATCAACTATCATATATATCCGTTATTTTTGCTATGGATATATTTTAAATTACTAAACCGATATCTAACTCTTTTATTTTCCTATTTATAATTTTATTAAATCAATGTATTATCCAAATAAATTAAACACATAAACTTGAAGATTTTGAGTATGTTTAGCTCAATAGAAGAATATCAGCTTCTGAATCTGTATATTCAGATATAGACTATCTATATTAAATAAAATGTGTAAAATGTGCTAAAGCAAAGTATTAAAGTGTTAAGAACTAAAATGTGCTAAAGCAAAGAATCTAGTATATACTACAATAACTAATTATTTGCCAAGTAATATATCATCACCATATCAATCATATTTTGATTGCCATAAAATATGCTCTAGACAGAATCCCCAATGAGCAAAAATCTCATCCATAAAACTCCACTCTAGAGTTATCATTCCTGCCACATTGTGTGGCAAGCAGAAATATAGGCAACATTTATTTTTTTGATAAGCAGCACGCAGCGAATAGGCATAGGCCGTTCAGAGGTTGCTCAAAAACTATTCATAAAATAAATGCAACGCATATTTTATACAACAAATTGTGTAATTAATAAATACAACAATTGATAATTAATAATTAAAAACTGAGCTGCGGCTCGAGCCAAAGTTGAGCAACAGCGCGACTACGCTGAGTCCATGCCAATGATGTAGAAAGTGTTTTTCCTGAACGAAAGCGAAAGTGACAGCAGATGCGCTGTAGATACGAAACGCCACCAGCGCGCCACCTGCACCACCCAGCCACACACAGCCACTTAACTACACACGCCAACGACACGCGCTGCATATCGAAATATGCGTGTTGCAACATGTAAATTATGAATCTCGTATATTGATTACGCTTTTTGGCCTGCCACGAAATTGGAATTGATATCAGTTTAATTCAGTGCATATATGTTTTTTATTTTTACTTATTTTTATTTATTTTTTTTATTTTTTTGGTTGACTGTTAACTCTTTTGGTGGAGCCAAAGTTTCACCACGCATTGCCCCTTGATTTGCAATTCCGAGCGCATTTTGGCAGCCGCTGAAGCCCTAACATTTGCCAATGAAATTGGAAAAGTTAATTTTTTGTATTTTTTATTTTTTTTATTTTTTTTTTGTATTTTTTCGTTCATTTCGCATATCAAATTGTTGCGTAGAAACGGCCAAGCGATAGCAGTCAAGTCAAATATCAATGAAGTATTGGCCAGCACGAGAAGCCATATACTCTATAGTCAATATTTACGCCCTGGATGTGATTGCAAAGGGCTAACGGTAGTACGTGGAGTAGGTGGCATCAGACATCAATTTATTTATTTTTTGACTAGCCTTTGACAATATTTGTCAATGCATATGCTCATCTGCTAAAGTCTGTCTTTCAGTCTATCTATTTATATTATACGCCTAACAGCCTGTCTACCGTCTACTGTACCTGTTAAATTCGCCAGACACTCTAAATTTTATATTTATATTTTCGGCATTACCATAAAATCGATAATATATATTTGGATTTTTTTTTTATCTTTGCATAGGTCGTAGACTTTTGTAGTCGAAGTCTTTAAATTTGCTATGTATTTAAATGCATTTTTAGGATGCATTTCATTTAAATTCGTTTTCAATACTTTGCCATCTTTTCTTGAAAAATAAATGTAAATAGTCTTAGTTAATATTTCGGTAATTGAATATAGGAAAATCAAAATTATTGAACCAAATGTAAGCAATTTCTTCAAAAAGCCGTTCTTATAGAGTGTGGGACTTTTCGAGAGCAAGAAGAAGCATTTTTACACTGAATAAATGTAGATATAATTTTATATAACTGTATATAAAGAACTGTATATAAAAAACTGTATATAATAATGATATTTGTGAGCACGTAAACATATATAAGCGTATATCAAGTAACTATATGAGGGTATCTTCCTGTCGAGCACATGCGCTCAGAGCAACCTGAACTATTGTTGTTGTTGTTGGTGTTGTTGCTGTCAGTGTTTGCTGTCAGTGGCGGCGTTGTCACTGCTGTTGTGGTTGCTGTGGTGTCTGTTGTTGGCGCTGGCGCCATTTTGCATAGTTGCACGCAGCCATTGTTGCTGCTGTCGCTGCCGTTGCTGCTGTCTCTGGCGCTGCAGCTTTCTCGATGGCCACGTGTGAGTGCTTAACTGTTCCATGGGCAGTTGAGTGATATTGAAAAATATGCGGGGCGAAAGGCAAAAATAAAATACCTCAAAAAGCAAAAAAACCAAATTAAATTTCATTTGCTTCACGAATGTGCCGAAAAAACGACAAAGAAAAACAAATACACAAATTGAAAATGGGCCGCAGGATGTGGCGCCTGTCAAGTTGAGTGCGTGGCACGTTACGCTAAGGCTCTGCGATGCAAATACTTTAAGGCCGCAGCCGTTGTCGCAACTTGGCCCAGCTGGAGTTGGACTCATTTACAGCTTACATTCGGCCAACTCTTGTTTGCCTTTTGGTTTTTTCTCTTTTGTGTTTGTGTGTGTGTGGGTGTTGGCCATCAAAGGTTAAGTGCGCTAAGACCCTGGCTAATGCAAGCATTAGCAAGTAACTCGGAGTGCCCTAATTAAGAGCCTGTTACATTTGCTAATTACAGTTCACGTTGGCCCCACAAACTTTTGCGTCCAATACCTTCAATTAGCCAAATGACTTTTGCATAGTTTTTATTGCAGTTTTATGCCCGCCCCTCTCAGCTGTCTGCAAAACATGTTCGGGATTTGCCTTTTTCCTTTTATGGATTTTATCTTACTTTCAGATTTTTTTCTTTTCTTTTTTGTTTTGTACATTTCATAAATAGTAAATAAATAAATAAATAAATAAATAAAAACAATACGTTGCACTACTTAAAATAGAGCCAATTGTAAAAGTCCTCGCATCGTGTCTTCGATTGTCGATTTCAACGTCTCTTCTGTGCTGCGTAGGCCATGTCTTGGGCGTCCTGGGGCTCCTGGGAGGAGCGAGCCCAGGCATGTGGGTCCCAGGCAGGCGAGGGATGCTCCAAGTGCTCAATGTGCTCCACGGGCAGATCCACATGATGATCCAAGTGGTGGTCCAGATGGTGATCGATGTGATGTGGCACGATGTGCTCGATGTGATGGGGCACAATGTGCTCGATGTGGTGCGGCACCACATGCTCCACCTGATGGGGATAGTGCACCACCTCGTAGTTAACGATCTTGGGCTTGGCGATCTTGAAGATAACCAGAGCACCGGACAGCACCAGCGAGAGCAGACCCAGAGTCATGGCCTTCCAGGTCTTCAGCGCGATCAGGCCCAGAACCAGCGGCATCAGCACCGTCGTCTTCAGCTTGAGGCCCAGCAGGAAGGGCAGCACCGCCTTGCGTATCATGCCACGTCCTGGGGGAGTGTATGCGTATGAGTAAGCAGATTAAAGCTGCGGCTGGGATCAGACTTACCCTCATTGGCGGCGCCGAGTGGTATCAGACCGCCTTGGGTCAGGGGATTCTGCAGCAGATAGTCGGGCACCAGGGCGCGTGCCTCGGAGCTGCGGAAGTATTCGGGCGCCTGAATTCTGAGGGCGTGGCTGGCCAAATAGCTGTCGATGCGGTCGAACAGCTGTTGCTGATGCTGCTCGGCGTTCAGCGCACGACCAGTGGTGCTGCTGGCCTCCGGCTGCTGCTGTGCGGTGCGCACCACCGACAGGCGGTCAGTTAGGCGCACCTCATTCTGTTGCAGCGCCGCGTTGAACCACTGCAGCGCCTTGGGGCGCACACACGAGATGCTCAGATCCTTGAGGCAGCCATGGTACATGTCCAGGGCCAGCTGTGTGGCCGATGGCGTTGTCGGCTGCGTTTGGGTGGTGGCGCCCTGGGCGGTGGCGGCCAGCGCGGTCAAGGCGCCAATTAGCCAGACGTAACTCTGCATCCTTTCAGTGTTTATTCAGTATATCGCTCCAAGCTGCGCACGCGTTGGCGACTCAATGGGTTATGCAAATGTGGCCCGGCCAGCGCTTGGTTTTTATACGTCGGTACTTTGTTAATTGAATTGCGTATGCGACATACGCGCCGCTCTTTGCGGCCTCCGCTTCGGCGCTCAGCTTTATTGGCCATTGCGTTTTGTTGTCAAAGTCATGGAAAGCGCAAGTTGTAGCAAGTTGTAGTTTCACCTGTGGCCAGCCAAAGGGCCCAGGCCTCCACACTCACGAGCTGCGCTCTCTGATTCTATAGACTATGGTGGACTGCTTCTATTGGGTCGACGGCTGGGCCCTTTATGGTCATGCCTCGGGCTAACTGTTCGTCCGTCTGTCTATCTGGCTCTGGTTTAATCAGGCATAATACTCACCATATCATTCCACACATAATTGAAAGTTATTTTATGGCTTCTGCGCTTCGGCTTTGTCGTAAAATCAACTTCTCCAAGCCAATGTGCGTGCCTGGCAACTCAATTAGAATGCGATGCGATACGATACGATTCGGTACGAAGCGGCTGTATCTGCATTAGCCAAAGGCCACCTGTAAAGCCCACCAAATGCACCTGAAGGCGTGGCTCGCGGAAAACAACTTTACTTCTGTCCAAAGGCCTACTCTAACGGGCAGGGTATGTGGAAATCTCAGCAGACTTGGGCATATTTATATATCAAACAAAATATTGAAATTATATCGGGATTTCACTTTTAAAAGAGTTTGACTCTTCAGATTATTAAGATATTTTTTCAGAGTATCAGACAATTTTTAGCCAAATATATGCATCAAATGTTTCTTTTGGGATAATGTTCCTTTCTGCGGGAATTAGGCTAGAATTCTTTAACCAAAAGGCGATCGTTAAATATTCGTTAGAAATTTTGTCTTTCTTGTAGAATAAGCTAAAATTTTAAATATATAGGCCTATAAATAGGAATGGTTTTCAGCCTCTTGCAAACTTTTTGGGGAGCTCTAAATTTTATCCTGTGCAATAAAACTCGTGAAATGAGCCTTTAAGCCGGCGCCTGCCAAAAACCGCAGCCCGAACCACAGGCAATTTTTGTTGTCTTCAAGTTTTGATTAAAGAATGAAATATTTAATACAAATAAAACTTGAAGTAGCTATATAAAAAGTAGCCAAAGGAGCCGGGCGTATTTATTCAAGCAGACACTAAAGCTCATAATTTCCCTTAAAATTGCAGCCATCTAATATTTATAGTTCGTTCTGGCTTAAGTCTGCAGGAGGAGTACCAGAGCAGTTGTACTTAAAGTTGCCTGAGGCTAGCCTGATTATGCCAGAGTGCCAAGTGTACTTAAGTATATACCAGTAAAAACAATCAACCTCAAATGCAAATTGAAACCAATTCAATTCCCGTTATTGCCCTAAGTATGTTTTGTTTAAATTCGAAGCTAAAATTCGGTTGCTATTGGATTGAATTGTATAGGAATGAGACTTCCACGAAATAAAACGCCCACACAGCGACACTTAAATGATGAGCAGCTCCAAAAACTTTGTTGCCAACACTTAATATTAAATGAACCCTTAAGAGCCTAGTCTGTAGAAGTGTCTGCTCGCAATAATTAATAATAGAGTAGATATATGTCAAATACATAGACATTGTTTTTGCAGCTGGTGAGGGTGTGTGTTGCGTCGTTGCTACCCCGTTCTTGGGTGTGCTGCTGCCTATTAACGATTTCTTTTGTTTGCTTGCTTCGTCTATGCATTTGTTATGGGCTGCGTATAACGGAAATATAATCGCAGCGCCCAAAATTAAGCCAAGCCTATGTTGAGCTGGGGCTAATGAGGCAAGTGGGCGGACAGATATCAGCCGGAATGTATTCAAATACTTTTACTGCTGCCGCACATAATAAGCCATCTGCGTAGCAAATGGTGTTTCGATGTCAATGCAGTCAAATAAAAATGTTTTCTTGTGCCTTTGTTTCCGCTTTTAGTTTCCTTTTCTGTTCGAGAATTCTTTTGAGAAAGTAAAAGCTGTGACATAATTGCGCACTGTGATTCATAAATATATATATATATATATATATATATATATATATATATATATATATATATATATCCTTATATATGTGTTTATATATAATATATAATTATACAATATATTCAAAGAATTTTATTTGACATTTTGTAGAGATCAAAGCTAAGAAATTTCAATAGCTCGCCTAATAAATATTTTATGCTAATGAATTCCTTTTAATTTCGGCTGTTGCAACAATTGGCAGCACGCTGTTCTGGGCCGTCCTTGACGCACTGATTTATGCAAACGGACTTATTTTCATTCCGTAGACGCTGCGTATGAGGGATTTCACAGCATGACTAATTTTATGGAACCAGATACGCCAAGGAATGTGCTGCAAGCAAAGCAAGCCAAAGAAAACCAGCCCCAGCACATTAGCCAAACTCAATACACATGTGAAAAACACAAGAGAGTGCTTTAGTATGGGCTAAACGACGTGCAAATACCCTGTATGTGGTGTCTCTTCAGTTAATTATATTTATGCGTCCAGTAAGAGAGTTGATCATGTGCATATTAGGCAATACAGATTCATTCGCATGCGTGCGCCAGACAGTCTTGTTAGCCATGTCATCAAATACTGAATGGTCTCAGACCAGCCTAAAAAGGTAGCGTGGACTACAAATGATGGTGCAAGTTATTCAGGTATTTAATTTGCCACGGTACAAGTTGGCCAGAGCTGTTCTCGGAATTTGCCTCGAGTAAAATATACAATGAAATCAAGTTAGCCAATGCAGAGACTGTTATTTTTATTTATTTATTTTTTGTTGCTGTCATCCTGAGCAGCTAATCTAAAGCCGAGTGATAAGAGGAAAAGATATACAAGCTGAGTGGAAAATAGCTAATGTATTCTGAGCTCAAAATTTGATTAGTGTTTGTTTGTCGGGCTCAAGCTAAATGCTGCTAATTTTTGTTTCTATATATAGAATGATTACTATGACAGTAAGTCGTGATGGGAGGCCTTATAAATTTAGGAGGCTAATGCAGATTGACCCCTACTTTTCAATTTGTTGACGCTCAATAACTCATAGATGGATGATAAAGTATATGCCCAGTTTAGCATTTATCGTATTAAATTGATTTCTTATATATCTTGAGGCATGCTACATAGCAGCTATGTATAAACAGGGTGTGTTAGGCCTTTAACAAATTATTGAAAACGGTTTCTACTCATTTACTCACCTGTCTCAAAGGGTTCGTTACGACAAGCTCTTGTCATTGTAACATATTAAGTTTAAATTCCTTGCTGCCAAACAAATATACTCTTGGTTTCCTGTTCTCAGGAAATTGGTTCAAGCGTTTCCATAGTCACATGACAGAAGATACTTAAGAGATATATGTGATATGTGATATGAGCTGATGAGATATCTGATGCGAAGTCAGCGGCAATCGTTAAATAGAACTAAGAATAGCCACAGTGGAAGCCAATGCCAGTTTTTTTTTTTTTTTTTTTTTTTTTTTTTTACATTTTTCAGTAAATTGTATTATTTTTATATTAAAAACCTTTTTATCTATTGTCTTAGCAGTTCACCTTTCAGTAAAATAATAATGGCTTCTATAAAATTCCAGTAAATATTTTAATATGTCCATGGCAACAACAGGCTCTCAGATCATAGACTTCCCATAGACTTCTTTAAATTAGAAAAAAAAAGTATTTACAATTTGATATCAGAGCCGTTTCTGGACAAGCGTTTACGAGCCAATCGAATTTGTAAGCTCCTATTAATTGTATATTGGCTTTTCAGGCTAACGGCATTCAGTTGCAATGAAATACTAATAAATAACTAATAATAAAGTAAATAAAATTAATTAGTTGCTTTCATTTGTGTAATGAAAATTTAAAATTAAATCCCAAAAGGGACTATATTTATGTGTATGTGTATGTGTGTGTGTATGTGACAGTAAAAGTCCATTTGATTAATAGGCAAGCGAAGGTTTGTTTGTTTGTTTGATTCTCTCCATGAGCTGTGGGAAAAATAATATACGTAATCATTGGCCCATTTGTTTTTATTGAAACAACACACCATGACAATTAAAATGCAGCCAGATATACAGATTGTAATTGATTTTTCGTATCTTTGTATTTTAATTTGTTTCTGTTTTCCTTTGAACAAAATGTAAACAACAATAATTCGATGTACTACAGAGCTGGAGGCGATTTCTCTTTTTAAGGCTCGATTGTCTTTTAATTAATGCAAATCCTGATTTCATTTCAGTTGTTGTAAATGACACAACAGTTATGCCCGCTGAATCGCAAAATGTTTCACAATAATAAATTATGTAAACTTGGTAAATTTGAAGTAAAAATTGCAACAAAATCAGAATGAATATTAATTAATTGAGGACGGTCGACTTAAGTTAAACACACACACACACAGGCTTATGTAGACATTCAATAAATACATAAATACATAAATAAATAAATATAAATATTAATATTAATATAAATATAATAAATAAATAAATAGATTAACAATTAATTTATGCTTAAATTGTTTAAGTAATTCGCATATTCACAGTTCGATTTAACAAGGAAATGTTGACTCAAAATAATTGATTGCCGCTGCAAGTGGTGCAAGTGGTGCGAGTGGTGCAGCTGCAGGCAAAGTTGATTTATCACTTCGCTGGCATATTGCACTGTGGATAGAGGCTGAGGCAATCCTTTTGGTCCTGGCCGTCGCGCGCCGCTTGGATGAGTCGGTAGAAGCGACGCACTGCCTCATTCGCATGCGTCACGGGCTCCAGCTCGCTCGTCTCTCTGCGCCGCACAAAAGAGCCAAAAATAATTGAAAGGAAAATGGAAAATTGCGTTAATTCAATTAATTTGATAGAGCAGCTGCTCGACTACATGGCAAAACAGTCCGGAACTTGGCTAATTAACTTTGCCGCATTGAAAGTAAACTTTCGCTGGCTATGCCAAAGAAATTTCGCTTTCACTCATACTATGACCAAATCCCCGTACGTGTCCTCTGTGAGTGTGTGGGTGTGTAGGTGTGTGGGGGTGTGG